CGTCGCCTTCCGCCGAGCTCCGCCGCTCGGGTTTTTCCGTCCCCGCTCGGGTCCTTTCGCTGACCGCGCCCTCTCCGCCATTCGGGCATCTCCGGCAGCACTCGGCTCTTTCCACCGCCCACCTCCGAACCAGACCCCTTTCGCTATAACCAGTTCATTTACGCTCCCCCTAATTAGCGCCCTATGACAGAGCCTGCCAGGAGAGGAGGGGCGAGGGCAGAGGGTGCTCTGGGTGCGAGATGAGGGGGAAGGATAAGCGGGATCCCCCAGGCAAAATTTTTTTACAATTGCAGGGAAAGGGCATTCCCCCTTAGTTTAAAAAAACTTTTTTCATCACTGGAGAGATTTAAAGTGAGGAAAACCCCTCTTTTTCCAATACTTAAGGAGAGTAAAAGGGCAGAAGTTATTTATTTGCCATTGTATTAGTTTCAGTAGAGGCAACTGCCCCATTTCCTCCTATTAAGGGGTTCACTAGAAGGAAGCTCTGCCTTTTTCAGCATTTTAAGGGCATTAAGCTATGCTACCTAAACACAAACGTTTATGTCTTACCAGTTTCCTGTTCTTCTGCTCCAAGTAGTTGATGCAAAAAGAAAACGCTGTTATTTTTCTGAAGAGTTTTCTTCTTTAACAAGCCCTTTACTCTCTTTGAATTTGAGTCAGAGGAGCCAAACAGCTGCAGCTGCTCTGAGGGCTTTTATACCCGGTGGGATTTGCCCCCTCCCTTTTCCTGGGTGCCATGGGAACGAGAGGCGGGCACCATCAGGGGTATATTAACCCCAGCCTTGGCCGAGGGGCTTCATACCCTCTCTGGGATGTGCTGGGGTGAGAGCTCTCCTCTCATTTCAGTGAAAAGGCTCTTTCAGCTCATCTCAGCTTGTTTCCAGCAGGTGTTTCTGGGCATCTAAAGCAGCAGAGGCTTGGAAGAGACTATGAAGAAAACAGCATGGAATACAGGGAGTATTTAGGTTCACAATTTTAGGTTTTGTATTTAGGGGTGTTAAAGCACCTTTGTAATTTCTGGTTTTGTTCTTGTTTTGTTTTTTATTGTTTTTAGGAGGAGCACACCTTTCAGAGATTGCAGGTTGTGTCAGGCAAAACATTTTTTCAGCAGATTCATCGTGTCACAGGAGGGATCTTCACAGTGTCCAAGATGATGCTTGAGATTGGGGCTTCAAGTGAGTTGAGGATTGTCACTGGGAGAGGGAGGGTGAGCAGGTATCCAATTAGGAGTTATTATGGGCAGGGGAAGGTTTGCAGGCAGCAGGGTGAGAAAGGGTGTTTATTTGTTTATTTGAGCCCCCCCCACACACAAGGCTTCTCAGAAGTCTAGCAGAGGCATTCCCATGTCTTAGGGCACACAGAGTCATCCACTGCACTCACAGGAATGCCATTTAACTTTGCCTTTCTCTAACCCAGGTGCCACTGCTAATAAAGGCCGCAGCCTTGGAATCAGGATGAAGCTGGAGCCTGAATGAGCCAGGCACACTCAGGAGAGGGCAAGTAGCTGACTTGCTGGGATTCGGCCCACATAACTCTGGACTCACACTTTGGTTTTGGTTTTCTTTGTTGCAGCTGACCCACAGGCTAACAGGCCATCACGGGGCCCTCCAAGGCAGACTCATTTCAGGTGCAACATAGATCCACATCACCCATCATCCAAAAGATAAGTTGGGGGCCAGGGCTTGGACATGGGACTATGGGAGAGTAGCAGGTTGGGAGTTCTTGGGACAAATTTAAAAATTAGCAGAGGGAAAAGCAAACTTCCCCAAGGGCCTCTTAGGACAGCTAAAGGGAGAGGCTCTACTTTTGATGGCAGCTTTCAGGCAGGCAGTGCAGAACAGTTCCGGTCTGTGTCATGTTGTCCAATGTGCCGTGTTACCTAGTGTGTCTTTGGGGTCCCTTTTACCTTCCCTCCTCGATGCCCTCACCACAAGCATGATGCGTCTTGTTTAATGTCCCCCTGTTTGTCACGTTCTGTGTTACGGGTGTCTGCACACATTTGTGCTGGAGCTGCACTGCCCTGCCGCATTGCCGCTGCAATAGGACAAGCCTGGGGAGTTGAAATTTGTAGTTTGGGTGTACTTGGGCTCTAGATGCTATTCCTAGGTTGACATAAGGTGTTTGCAGCTTGTGAGTTATCCTGGTGGTGTTTGACATATGTTCTAACTTTCTTTCAGGTGCAGATGCATTGCATCCATGGCAGAGGGTCAGGGTTAGGAGATGCCGGGCCTTCTTAGGAGCACGGTGAGTAGCAGACTGGTGGGGTTTTGGTTGATGTGGTGCCAAGATCAGGCACTGATATTTGGTTTTCTTTAATACAGCTGTCTGAGAGACACCAGCCCGGTGCCAGCAGGACCTTCCCAGCTGGCGAGGTGGCCTTTCTTTGCACCTGATATGGACCAGCACCCCCTGATATCTGAGAGATAAGTAGAGGGCTAAGACCCACAGAGGGGATGAAAGCAGGGTGCTGGTTTGGGAATTACTGGGAGGGGCTTTTGAGTCCGCTTTGGGGGTGGGGGGTGTTCATGAAGTGGCCCCTTGGGCCCCATAAAAGCAAAGTCTCACTTTTGATCGCAGTGCTGAGGTGCGCAGCTGGGCAGAGCAGCTCCAGTGTGTCTCGTGTCACTTGTCTATCATTCATTATGTGTTGTTTGGGTATCTCAGGTATTTTACTTTATCCCTTTGTGAGGCCTGTCAGAAACCTTGGCACCATTCTTAGCATCCATGATCTCAGCATTCCTTGCCCTGGCACCCATGCCATGGAACTTTTGACTGGGGAGCTCAGGCAGGCATCAGAAATGCCTCTCTCTTTGGAAGCATCCTGTCAGATGTCTTGTCAGGTCTTGTTCTGAGCTGTATGGACAGCTATGCCCCGCCAGGATCCATTATGGCTGATTAGGACTTGTAAGAATGCGAGGTTAGAGAGAGGATTCTGACTGTAGGATTCCTAGGCATCCATCTTTGCAGTTCTTGGAATAAATCATTCAGTTAGCATTGTCTTCCTCCAGGGTTCTCTGAGCCTCATCAGCTCCCCATTGGTTTCATCTTGGTTATCTCCTTTTGCATCCTCTCAGTCCTTGCAGCCATTTTCCTTGCCAAGAGATTTCTGTCTGTGTTGTGTCCCCATTGTCTGTCCCGTCCTGTCCTGTGTCACGGCTGTCAGCACATGTTTGTGCCAGAGCTGCTCTGCCCTGCTGCATAGCCTGGTGCAATAGGAGGCATCTCGTGGGCTTGGAATTTGTAATGTGGGGTGTAGTTGGACTCTAGATGGGATTTGTAGATGGATACAGGATATCTGGAGCCCATAAGTTATCCTGCAGCCCTTTGACTTTCATCCTAACTTTCTTTTAGTTGTAGAAGGATAAAATCCAGGGCAGAGCCACCCATCCTGGGTGAGGGGATTCCGCTGTGCATGTCAGTCACTGTTTGTCTCTGCAGAGGAAGCATAAATGGTGGCTGTTACAGCTCTGCTCTTTGTCTTTATTTTTAGGAAGTCAAGGCAAAGAGCAGCTGTCAAGGCGGAGTGGGCAAGGTGAGCATTGAGTAGGGTACCGAAGCTGTTGTTATTGCTGAGGTCTCAGTTTTTGGTGCAGCTCTAAGTATGTAGTATTCTTTTTATTTTAGATGGTCTGCTTGCCATCTATCCTACCCCAGCATGTCCATGCCAGGTGGGTTCAAGCTTAAGGTATTGGTGTGGCATACTTGTCAGGGTTGGAAGGTTGCGTTTTCACAGTATCTCAGCATGCTTTTCTGCTTTGTTTCTTTGCAGGTGCTGTCGCTGTCCTAGGCATGACCAAGGAACAGAGGAGGGCAGGTTAGTCGGTGTTTAGGCAGGCTGACTCATAGGCAAGCGTTATGCAGCAGCATGCTAAGCATGTCCCTTTTCCTTTTTGCAGGTACCTTCTGGGCGGCCTCCGGAGTCAAATCAACATTTGAGGTGAGCTGGGGCAGTGGTGCAGAGGAGTCCCAGGGATTACTCTTTTTGAGGGCAATAGTCACCTTTTCTGTTTTGCCTTAGGTACCCTGGGGAGGCTTGTAGCCACAGCTTGGAAGCAGCAGCACCGAAGCACACACATTGAGAACATCTCAATGTCTGCATCCGACCGACGATGGCTTTTGTCCGCTCGTCTTCCAAAAGCTAAGTGTCGGGGCCAGCGGTCGGGAGAAGGGGAAAAGCCTTTACTATCACAGGAGGCAATCTGATGTCAGCTTAGCGGAGAGGTCCGTAGTGGGACAGACTCCCTGGAAGTAAAGGGAGAGGGTTTCTCCTCAGCCTCACCAGAGCCTTTGCCGGGCAGGACAGTTCCAACCCATCTCCACATTCTCGTGAACTTTGCGTCGTCAGCCTTCCTCTACTCAACGTCGTCACGGCTCTTTCCCCCGAGGAGCTCACCTTCAGGTCTAGAGCTATAGCCACAGTCACCCGGCCGTCCGCTTCCTTCTCTAGGCTTGCTGAGCCTCTCGGGCATCCTCCTAACTGCTTTGGCCCTAACTTCCTTTAAAGAGCTACATTTCATCATCACGTGCTGTCATCATACGGCTTCCTTTCCCTTGGCCTCATCGGCCTCTGGCTCGTCTTGCGCTAGGACTCTCGGGTCCCTAAGGGGAAAGTGCCAAGCAGTTGCAACTTGTCTCTGGGTTATGTCATCTGTGTCTATGTTATGGTGTCCGTGTCTGTGTTATGTAGTCTGTATCCATTGTCTTCCACGTCATAGGCCTTTATTACATCTCGATGCTTTATCGGCACTATTCTATGCCATATAGGCCGTGTTCTACTCACATTCCTTTCCGGATATCCCTTATTCCGGCATCTTTACATTTTTACTCTTTGAGACAGGAATGTCTTACAGGGACAAGATGTTCTCATCCATCTTCCTTCTCACTACCAGCTTTGGTAGTGCCTTTTTTCCATTTTCTTGGACTTCTAGAGGGAGCATCTTACACCCTTCTCATGTGACTGCAGTAGTTCTATAGATTCCATCTTCTCAAAGGTTATAGGGCTCAAGAATTAATCTTCCAGAGAGTTATCTCCAGTCCTGGCTTGTATTGTATGTACCTATATTGTGTGTACCTATATTGACCTATGTTGTATGTACTTACATTGTATGTACCTCTGTTGGCTTATACTGTGTGTACTTACACTGTATGTAAGCGCATCGCTCTATATTATGTGTATTTATGCTCTGTGTGTACTTGCACTGTATGCATCAGCTTATATTGTGTGTACTTACATTGTACCACTTATGATCTGAGCTGCCCTGCCCTGGTACATAGTCACAGTTAGGTAGAACAGTTATAGAAATTTTACTGTTCAACTGTCTTCTATGGGATTTTGGGTAGAAAACTTATCAGTCCAGATTGGGGACAAGTCCCAGCTGTCAGATAGCCACTCGTTGACCCTTCCTGTCATCTCACAGGTCCCCGACGCTGCTGACTTCCCCAGTGTGGGAATCCATAAAGTTAGAGGGTTTTTAGGAAATGGTTAAAAAAGAGTATTTAGGCCTCAGGATGTGGCCCGAAGTTCTGTTACAGCAGAAAAGTTTCCCAAGCAGTAGACATGACAAATAACAATAGGACTTTGTAGATTTTGCTTTAGGATGGCAACAAGTTTATTTAATGTATATCTTTAGAAGGTTACTGTGAATAGAGCTCTGTTCTTTGTCTTTTATGAACCAGTCTTTGTTCTAAGTACTATTACGTATGTTTTATAAGGATTGGATGGAAAGCTTGTCAATATGTCTTGTTTTGGTGTGATTGATTGAAATCTAAACTGAGATGGTTTTATGTCTTTCCGTTTTACCCCACCTTTGGGGGCATTTTCCATTAGGCCAGCATGCTGTTAACATCTAACAATGTTCTGAGGCTGATGATACTAATAAATAAAAAGGTACTAATAAATAAAAAGGCTGGTCTGAATTTGTCCAGTGTGGTCCATATTTGGACTTTTTGCGGCGGCAAATGGGTTCCTCTCTTAAGACGTGGGTTCCTGACACCATTGGATCTATAGCTACCATGTTGCCCCGACACCCAGGATCTGCCATTTATGTCAAGGAGCAGCAGCCAGAAGATGTGTCAAAGCACATTCTTCAGTGTCTCAGGTAAGGGCCGCAGCGAGCGTGTAAGTGGGAAGAATGTGAGAGTGTGTGTGAGAGCATGTGGCTGTGTCTGTCTGTGTCTGCTCGTCTCTGCATGTGTGAGCACATGCTGACTGGATTTAACCTTGTGTATATGACTTTTGCTGTTCAGGTTTTGCAACTCATTGTTAAATTTAGAATAAAAAATCCCCAGCTGCCTTCCCCCCCGACCTCGGCTGTTTTTTTTTTTCTTGGTCTTGGTAGGGTAAAAACCCAGGAAAATACCCCAATATAGGCTAGAAAAGACCCAAAAAAACCAGTTAAAAAAGCCAAGATGGGCAAGAAAAACCCAGGAAAAAACCCCGAAAAAACCCCAAGATGGGCAACAAAAAAAAACCCACAAAAACCCAGGAAAAAAAACTCAAGATGGGCAAGAAAAAAACAAGAAAGAAATCAGAACAATCCCAGGAAAAAACCTCTAGGTGGGCAAGAGCAAACCCGGAAAAAAAACCTAAAAAAAACCCAAGATGGGCAAGAAAAAAAACTAGAAAAAAATCCCAGAAAAAAAAAA